TGTTTTAAGCTGCAGACTGTTTCAGGGGGGCTGATGGAGTCTCCTGGCATCCTTTTCTATTCTGCCTGGATCATGACTTACCCCTGGTCCAGTATAGCTCTGATATGTGTGCTACCTGCTCCTCAGTCACTTTAGCGGCTCTTTTGGTTCCCAGGTCAATGGTCACAGTATCACAGTATTTGTGGTCAAATACTCTTATTTGGCTTTATAATGGCCACAAAATGCAAGAGACAGATACTGGCAGTTGAGGTATCTTAAAGAGAAACCCTAAAGTGAGAAACTATTAAGGAAGAAGTTAAAAAGCATTAACTTGTTAATGTTGTTTAAGGTTTGAGCCTGTCTGTGACTTTAGACACACACTGGGCAGTCTGGAATGTATCTTCTAAACATAAGGGGAAAGTACTATATTCTTTTTTTTATATGGTGACACATGTTTAGTTACACCAGTAACATTGCAAGAAGTGTTGAGTAAATAATGGGTTTCTCAAATACTTGTTTTCTCTCAGTATCTTATCTTTGGTGTAGATAATTGTCAAAGTGAAAAGAGATGATGGCAAGTGTTTATTACATTTGGTAGCTTATATTTGTATTTTACACTCCAGTTTATTTGTTTTTATTTGTTTATGTTACTGGAGTTTGACCTCATATTCTCACACTTGATACTAGAGATACGCTTCACAAAATATGATCTATTCTAGTGAAAACAAATGTATTATGTTTGGATCCTAGCCAAGGAAATTTGTTAAAAAGATGTGAGCCAGGGTGTGGTAGCATTCATCTGTAATCCCAGCCACTCAGAAAGTGGGGATCAAGACAATCATGGTTCCCAGCAAAAAGCTAGCAAGATATTACCTCAACCAACAAAAAGAATTATGATGCATGTATGTGACCCCAACTATATAGAATGCGTAGATCGGAAAATTATAGTCCAAGGCTGATCTCAAACAAAAATGGGAGACTAATGAAAAGATAATTCAAGTAAAAAATGGCTGTGGCTATGGTTCAGGTGGTAAAGCATCTACCTAGCAAGTAGGAGTCCTGGAGTTCAAATCCCAGTAATACTCTCACCCAAGAGAGGCATCATTTATAATACTTATTTTACTCGCTCAGAATTATATTTCTTTTTCAACATTCTTTAAATTGTCATTTTAAATACTTTATATTTCTTGAAAATAGTGTGGAAGTGAATATAACCTTATGAAATTCGAAAACAGATACAGAATTTAAAAGACATATGTATATATAGCATGTCATAGATTTGTACTTTGGTAGTGGGGTCACTGGATACAGATTCAAGTACCAACAGAGTTCCATCTATCATCTTATCTTAAAGATTATTCAGTGGATTTCTGAGAACTTGACTGCCTGCCATTCATTTGACCTCCTTCAGGAATTTCTAATTGGTGAGTGTGCTGATGTGATACTTTATGCTGAATCTTGACCCTTTTTCTTCAGGGAAATCAGCAAGTTGACAATGAGTGCTTCCAGCTGTAAAAATGCTACTGAAGAGTGCTTCCTTGCCCCCAAATCCTGTTGCAGTCAGCAGCTAATTAAATTTCATTCTCTTGTGGTTTTTGTGAGAAGTTGTGGCTTTTAGAGACTGATATCAGAGATAGATTTTGAGTCTATGACCTTATTATTATTTTTTGCCAATAAAATGTACCTTTCTTAGCCTAGTTTATGTTAGATGGCTCTGTATCAAGTAGCATAGTGTCATTTTGGTAGACATGGTACCAAATAAGAAATGGTTTGAAATTTTCTGTGTGTGTGTGTGTGTGTGTGTGTGTGTGTGTGTGTGTGTGTGGTGCTTGAACTCAGGGCTCTGTCATTTAGTTTTTTCACTTAAGGCTGGTGCTCTTCCACTTGAGCCACAGTTTCACTTCTGGGTTTTTGGTGGTTAATTGCAGGTAAGAATCTCATAGACTTTCTTGTCCATGCTGACTTTGAATCATGATTCTCACATGGCAGCCTCTTGAGTAGCTAGAATTATAGATGTGAACCATCAGTGCCTGTCTTGAGATTTTTTTTAAAAATCAGAAGCCAAACATTTTAGTCAATAGATAACCTCAAAATCTTTAACCTTCTGAGGATGACAGATTAGGCAGTGAAAACACATATTGGTTTGTTTGATTTGGCTAAGTTATAGTGTTGATCTTATTTGGATTAAGTCATGTCTCTTCTCTGCAGCCTCTTCCTATTGGAGCATATTTCTAGAGTCCTGCACGGTGGCCATGCTTTTTCCTTGGTCCTCGGTGCTCACTTGGAACATGGTTAGTCATCCCCTTGTATTCTATGTGCAATTGAAATCAGGTCACAGTTGTGGGTCAGTTGTAGGGCATCTCTGTTATGGTTCCTGAGTTGTAATGTCATTTCTGTTTTGACTGATAAGGAGCAGAATTGAAATTTCCTGGCAGAAAGTTGAACATCTCTTATCTGAAAATCTGAAAAATAAAATGCTCCAAAGTCTGAAACTTTTTGAGAAGCAACATGATGCTACCGTTGAAAAATTTCACCCCTGAGCTGAAAAATTTCACCCTGACCTCTTGCAATCGAGCTGTCAAAATGCACATGCACTAAAAATGGTTCATTAAATTGCTCTGAGACTATGCATAGGAAGTATGTTAAAACATAAATGAACTTCATGTCTAAATTTATGTCTTCTTCTACTTATGCTATCTCATGGTGGTGCACAACTGTAAACCTGGCACCCAGGAGGTATAGGCACAGAATTGAGTTCTAGGCCAGAGCCAAATAGTGAGGCTCCTGTCTCAAAGGAAAAAAAAATAAAGTCAAACTTAAAAAGTTAAATAGCACATGTTTTTGTTCATATGTGAAATCTGGACCTACAAGGATAAAAACAATAGGACATGAATGTAAAAGGTGAGCTAGGTTGGGAGGGAGAAGAATAGTGGGGGGAAGAAGGTACTGGGAGTCATCTCATATCCCTTCTCCACAAAGATAGAATGAAAAAAGCCATTGAATTCTGTATGAAAAGGAGGGGAGGGACAAGGAAGTTAGAGTTCATTAGAGCATACAATACAGGAGTATAATGGGTCAACAACTATTGTATGCATTTAGGGAAACAGCACAATGAAACATCTTTTTTTTCAATTAATGTATGCTAATAAAAAAGAATAAAATGGGACGAATAGAAGCCAGAAAAAAAGATTTCTCAAGTGTGTTTTGATTCACTTCTAAAATTTTCTGATGGACCCAGTGGGGCAGTGGTTTTCTGGAAGCCATTTTATTTGTCTTTTTCCATTACAGTTATTAGATTTTCAGGTTTCATTGTAACGGAAAGAAGGAGCCAGGCTTGTCCCTTTCAAGGTGTCTGCTGGTTTCTTTTAGAACACTTTTATGTGCAGACTCTGTGGTTATACAGCAGGAAGTGTGCAGGTCACACCTCTGCAGGAAGTGTGCATCTCCGCCCCGTCTTCCCCCAAGCTCTTCAGTCTTATGTTAGAGGGGTCTCAGGGTAGGGCTGACACCACTGGTCCCAGAGTTGTGTTCAAAGACAGAACATGTTGCATGAGGCTATTGTTCTGTTCAGTGTTTGACGCTTGATTTCCAAGATTCTGTGTGTGAAGTATAGAAGCCTTGGGGAAAAATAGACAGGACTGACTCCAGGGAAGCCCCACAGAACACCTAAGAAACCCATTGTTATAACCTTGAAATACTGTGCTCATTTTGGTGTTAACCATGCTGCTCTAACATTTCTGTGGTTGGAGTAGATTAACTTAAAGACCTCTTCTAATCTTAAAGTTCTGTGAATTTCTATTTATCTTTAGCAATGTTATGTCATCTTTCCAAATCCACAATTTTTTTTCTTCACGTGTGGTAGTACTGGGATGTGAACCCAATGCTTCAAACTTACAAGTTTGGCATTTTACCACTTGAGCCATTTCTCCATCTCCAACCCACATTACGTTACAACTGTAATGGCAACTTGTTACAGTAATGCCAAGTGCATGTAGTTCACGCCTACAATCCTAGCTACTCAGGGGGCAGACTTGTAAGGATCTTGGTTCAGAGTCAGCCAGGGCAGACAAATGCTTGGGTTCTAGCCCCTGTACTGATAACCAGCAACAGCAACAATAGCAACAACAAACTTGCCGCAGACGAAAGCAGTTTCACTCATTCTCATTGGTATGGAGATAATTAGCTTAGATTTTTTTAAATGTGTTTTTTTTGCTAGTACCAGGGACTCAGGCTTGCTTGGCTCTTGCTCTACCACTTGTGCCACAATTACATCATGTCTTTAGAGTGTTTTTTTTTTTTTCCGGTCATGGGGCTTAAACTCTGGGCCTGAGCACTGTCCCTCAGCTCTTCAGCTCAAGGCTAGAGCTCTACCACTTGAGCCAAAGCACTACTTCCAGTTTTTTCTTATGTGGTGTTAAGGAATCGAATCCATGGTATCTGCATGCAAGGCAAGCACTCTTACCACTGAGCCACCTTCCCAGCCCCTGGAGTGGTTATTTTTTGAGAAGGACTTTCATGGACTTTTTTTTTGCTCATCTTGGTTCTGAACTGTGATCCTGAATAGCTAAGATTATAGAAGTGAGCTACTGGCACCGGGTTGACTTGGATTTTTAGAAAGTTGCTCTTGCGAATTGATAATCCTGAATAATGTTTTGCAAATAATTATAGTTATTTGAATATAATTATACCCATTTTAAATACGATTCAGAGCTTAAAACAATCATGCAGTTTTAAAGCTGTTGCTGAGTAGTGCTAGCAGTGATGGATGAAGTCTGCTACAGTAACTTCTTTTTCAGAAGGGGGGGATATTGGAGCTTGAACTCAGAGTCTCTAGCTCTCACTTAGCTTTTTAGATCTTGGCTTGCAGCTCTATCACTTGAGCCATGCCAACAGTTCCTGATTTCTTCTAGTTTATTGGAGATAAGATTCTCTTAGATTTGTCTGCCAGGGATAGCTTTGAACCACGATTCTCAGATCTCAGCCTCCTTAATAGCTAGGATTATTAGTGTGAGTCACCAGCATCCAGCTTCTGCAGTAGCATTTAATCACAAGCTTTCTCTTGTATGGAGAACTCAGTTACCCAGATGTTCTGAAAATGTATTTGTCATGATTTATTTTCATGAAAATGTATTTCTCATAATTTATTTTCTCATGATTTATTTTCTCATGATTGTAAAACCCAGGTCATTTAAGCTCTAAGAAGCAGCAACTTCTAATTTTACGTAGCAACTTCTAAATTGTTTTCTCACACTAGTCACTTTTGAAAGGAAATCTGGACTGACCAGATGAGAGGCTAACTACACAGTTACCATGGAGATAGGTTTCACAATAACAGTGAATGGAGTGTAATTTTGGAAGTTTATCCTTTTAAACACGTTTTAATGCTCACTCCTTAGTGAAATGTTTGACATTCCAATTGCCTGGCATGGAGCCAATGCTGCATGTCTGAAATAATGGTGGATAATGAGGTATAGAACCTTTTTTAAAACTAAGTAAGAATCCCATGGAAGGCCACACATGGTGGTGCTCACCTATAATCCCAGTTTCTTGAAAGGTGGGCTGATGTGGCTCCAGTTACTAGCACAAGATCCTATCTGTAAAACAAACTAAAAAGAGCTGGGAGCATGGCTCAGGTAGGTAGCAAAGCTCTTGCCCAGCAAATGTGTGGTTCTGGGCCCAGCTTCCAGTACAGGAAAGACAAATAGAATGCATTTTGGTATGTTCTAATTAGACCAGGACCAACTTTAACACACATAAAAAGATGGAGGAGGACCGTGATGATAAATAATAGAACATTTTCTTTTTATTCCTGTATTTGATGGTACAAATAAAATTTACTTCAGTTCTTAAATAGACATGAATGAAAGGACACAGTATTGCAGTGCACTTTCTCATGATAATCCCTTCCTTTCCTTTGGAGACCCTGTCAGCTACTATTTAAAGAATAGTTCTCTTCCCAAAGCAAGAGATATGCTGTACTCACTGTTATTTATACACCACAAAGTTTATTTAAAGTAGAGGGTAGCACTGTGGAAGCTGTCTTCAGCTCCTGTCTATGCAGAACACACTTCCTGAAGGCTTGAGCTGCTGTGCTTGCTATGTTAAACAGTTGTGGTATGTTTTTTTTTTCCCCTACCATAGGAAATTCCTGGAATAACCCTTGTGACCGAAGAGATTGCATTGCCCCTCATGAAGGTAAGTCACTTCCTGTGAGAGACCAAGCCGCTGAGCATGACAGGGCCTGTGCCACCCCCAGTGTCACTGTGGTCCCACGGGAGATCTCAGACTAGCAGAGCGCATGAGGGTCCAAGCAGGGCGGGCTGTCTGGAGACTCCTTCCTCAGCTGTTAAATAATCATTGAGTGTGATGTGACAGCAATTCTTAGGAATGTTCTTTGAAGAAGAAAGTTATCTGAAGATAAGAGGGAATGACAGGGCTTGGTTCAAAGTGTACACAACTAATATATGGGCTTTAAAGTGGGTCTTACCAAAGGAGTCCTTGTACATTATCTCTGAGCCTGGGAACTCTTTTTTGTTACTTCATTTACAGTTACTCCCTCAACCATGTGTACACACACACACACACACACACTCACACACACACACACCCCTCAAAATTTCTTCCAATCTTATAAACCTAAGATCATTTCTAATCTTATGAAACAATGATCTCATATTCTTCTGGTTCTGTGAGCCACCTCTCTACTTGCCCAGCCTCTTCACTTCTTCAGGGTGATGTGTATTGGCTCTAAGTGGTATCAATCAAGCTTTGCAAACTTCCTTCTTGCCTATTAAACTGTGGCTCTCAGTATCTTTCAAAAGAGTTTCAGAGTTTCTGAGGGAGGATGAGATGGGGTGGGTTAAGTAGAAAAGAGTGTGCACATTGTTTAAGTGAGGGGGAGCGGGTCTTTGGCCCAGTTTCCTTGAAGCTCTTTTCTTGTTGGCATTGCCTCCTGGTAATTACAGCTTGGTGTAGATGGAGAAATCTGTTTCTGGTGGGAGCAGCCTTTGATTTACATTGGATTCTTTTTTTAAATTTTATATTTTTTATTGTAAAGGTAGTATACAGAGGGGTTACAGTTACCTGAGTAAGGTAATGAGTCCATTTCCTATGGAGCATTGTTACCCCCTCCTTTGTTTTTCCCTGACCATCCCTTTCCTCCCCACCTCTTCCCTTCCCCCCTCCCACCAAGTTGTAAAATTTGTTTTCAACATAGTATCTTATATATCTCATTGTTACAACCTGTATCCTTGTTTCAGCATTTTATTTCCCTTCCCCTTCCCAAATTAGAAAAATGTATATACAAGAAGCAGGGCACTGGAATCAAATAATGTGAAAACAGGGGTTATACCATGGGGGAAGAACACAGAAAAGAAACAAAAAAATCACATAGTACATTAAAAACAAGAGCAACAAAGAGAAAACCTCTTGTGTCCCTATCTTGGGATTCATTTCATGTAGCATCATCTTATATGGTCATATGTACATAGCTTTTGACCTTTTCTGCTTGTCTTATAAGATCATCCTAGACATATACTAGTTATTGTAAATAAGGGAAACCATGGGACCTATGTTTCTTTGGGTCTGGCTTACTTCACTTAATATATTAGAACTGTGAAAGACAGTCAGGACCCGGGTAGCTAGGGGAAGACTGGGGTGTTCGAGGTTTCAGTGCTGTACTGGGGTGAGAGAGGGCAAACTGGAGACATGGTAAGTGGTTCTAGCTGTTGATCCTTAGAAAAAACTCTTAAAGATAGATTGACCCTCTGTGTCCAGGCAGAAGAGTAGGGCCACTGCAAAATGCTACTAGTGTATGCAGAGGAAAGGAGCAAGGGTCACAGGTGTGTTAAGCTGGTATGTTTCACAGGTATGCTAATAGCTTCACAGCTATGTTATATTAAGGGATTCCATTTGTGTGTGTGTGTGTGTTGGCCCTGGGGCTTAGACTCAGGGACTGTGTGCTGTCCCTAAGCTTTTGTGTTCAAAACTAGCACTCTGTCACTTGAGCCACAGCTCCACTTCTGGATTTTTTGGTAGTTCAATGGAGATCAAAGTTTCACAGACTTTCCTGCCTTGCTGGCTTTGAATTGCCATCCTCAGATCTCAGCCTCCTTGACTAGCTAGGATTATAGGCATGAATCACTGAAGCCTGGTTGGAATCATCCTTTCACTGCATTGTTTTTGCCTTTGCCAGTAGTCCTACCAAACCCCTAATATGTCTACTGGACAAACTAGAAAGATATGACTGTTTGGGCTGGGGATTGAACCCAAGGCCTTGAGCATGCTAGGCAAGGGCCCCACTATTGTGTCACCCCCTTGACCTCCTGAATAGCTGGAATTATAGGCATGTATCACCATGAGTGGCCTTAAGAGAAATCTTTAAACAAATGATGTGTCACCTACAACTTTTAATCTATCAGCTATCTATTACTTCCACTTCTTCGTGAGCATTGTCATAGCATGTATATTTTATTAAGTGATCTAGAGATATTTGATAAATACTATAAATTATACTATAAACCTTTTCCATGTGACTATACAAGCTAATGATTCTGCAGGATTCCACTGAATTTCTACATCTTAATTTGTGCAAACAACCTTTTGTTTTTGGAAATTTGGTTTATGACTAGATCCCACTTGAATGTTTCATGGAGAACTTAGAGCACAACTCAATGGCAATGTGTTTGCCTACTGTATGTTTGGCCCTGGGTTCAATCTTCAGCATTATAAAATATTTGTTATTAAAATAATGTTGCAGTGAATATTTTTATAATATAGTTTTTCTTCTGATTTCTTCCCCCAAGGTTAAATACAGGCATATCATTATGTGAAAGACCGTGAGAGTATATTTTATAGCTTTTGATTCTTACTACCAAACTGCTATTGAGTACAAGATGTGAGAATGTGTTCTAATGAAAGGGATTTATGAGTTTACTAGTTTTACCCTAACCTTTGCCCATGCTGTGTATTTACATTTATAAAAGCAAGTACAAAGGAATGACAGGAAGATTTTCTCTATCCTTTTTTCTTATTTATTATTTAGTCAGTTGTGGGGCCTGAACTCTGGGCCTGGGTGCTGTCCCTCAGCTCTTCACCTCAAGTCTAGACTTCTACCACAGCACCACTTCTGGCTTTTTTGCTTATGTGAAGCTGAGGAATAAAATTGAGGTACTCTTGCATGCAAGGCAAGCACTCTACCACAGAGCTACCTTCCCAGCCCATTATTTTTATTATTTATATATTTTTTCTTGGCCATAGAATCTGAACTCTGGGCCTGAGCATTGTCCCTGAGCTCTTCAGCTCAAGGCTAGCTCTCTACCACTTGAGCCACAGCGCCACTTCCGGCTTTTTCTGCTTATGTGGTACTGAGGCCTGGGCCTAATGCATGCGAGGCAAGCACTCTACCACGGAGCCACCTTCCCAGTCCCCTTCTTCTTATTTTTAGAATATAATTTGGCTTTGCTTGGGAACAAAGTAGCTTTGGCTTATCATTTGCACTCTCTAGATATTGGTATTTTTTTTTTCATTTTTCTCCCTACCCTCCCTTCCCTTTCATGAACTTGAGAGTCCATTGATGGATCTCTTGGTAAACCTAAAGAGCCACAAAGTTCCTTATAACCTGCTCTGCACAACTGGGACCTAGCAGGGAAGGCCGAGGGGCACTTCTGAGATGGGCCTGGGATTCAAGATAAGATGATGCTGGTTTCAGTGGGACCACTTCCTCCATCGCTCCCTAGCCATCACAAGAGGCCCTGAGTGCACTCTAGTTCACCTGGCTTGAGTGCCCCATTTCTTTCTCCCTCTCTGCTTGCATAATTCCACTCACTCGAAGCTGCCTTTGCCTCTGACCTACTTCTTATACCCCAAGTCCCATCTCAATTATATTGTGAGGGGCTCACTTGCAGGGGTGCCTCCACCACCTCCCTCTCACGCCAGTTATCAATGGGGCTGCTCTTGCCATGCTCACCTGATGACTTGACTCTGAATACCCATGACCTGAGCCACCAATTACCTTTAGTATGTGTGCTGGCTGCCAGGCAGTATTGAGGCCCAAAGAGTCTGTTTACTCTGAGCACTGACTTCTTCTCCCCTTGGTCAGGAGGGAAGGGTGAAGAGGCTAGACATGGATTTGCCTCCTGCTCTCTCTGCGAAGGATTTGATGTGAGGCAGTAGAGCACTTTCCAGATGTTTGCTATATTGCTGTGTCTGAGTGTTTGTGCCTCACTCCCCTAAATTCATACATTGAAGTCCTAATCTCCAAAATGGTGGCTCCAGGAGGTGGGGCCTTTGGAAGGTAACCAGGTCACAATCAGGATTCACATCTGTAAAAAAGACTAGAGAGAGCTAGCTTGTCTTTCCTGCCTTATGATAATGTCACAGTGAAAACACAGACATCCAGGAAGGGGGCCCTTGTCAGATGCTGGACATGCCCATTCCCAGTCTCAAGAACAATGAGGAGTAACTGTCTATTGTGTATGAGATCCAGCCTCTAGTATCTTGTTATAGCAGTGGAAATGGACTAAGACATGTGGCTATGCTGGGGTAGATAAGCCAGTTCAATTAGAAGATTGTTACTTGAAATGTAAAACACTTCCTCATTTTATAAATGCTTCAGCAAGTAATGTTAAAAAATTTAATAAAGTGGGGCTGGGAAGGTGGCTCAGTGGTAGAGTGCTTGCCTTGCATACTCAAGGCCCTGGGTTCGATTCCTCAGCACCACATAAGCAAAAAGAAAAAAAGCTGGAAGTGGTGCTGTGGCTCAAGTGGTAGAGCGCTAGCCTTGAGCTGAAGAGCTGAGGGACAGCGCCCAGGCCCAGAGTTCAGGGCCCACGACCGGACCCAAAAAAAAAATTTAATAAAGTGTACAGTGATGTCTGCCTTGTAAATACAAAGCCCTGAGTTCAATCCACAAGACCACAAGAGCAAGCAAGCATGTATGATAGAAAGAAAAAGAGATAGAAAAGAAGGAATGGGAAAGAAGGAAGGAAGGAAGGAAGGAAGGAAAGAAGAGAGGGAGGGAGGGAGGAAAAAAAAGAAGCAAGAAAAAAAGGAAGAAAAGAAAGAACATTTGTCATCAAATGTCTTTTTAAACTGTTCGTTACTCCAAGGAAGTATAACTTGACTTTCTAGTAGGAAAAGAAACCGTTAAAAAATATTCAGGGCTGGAAAGGTGGCTCAGTGGTAGAGTGCTTGCC